AGGAGGAACCAGGCCAAGTGCAGAACAAATAGAAACATTTACAACTGCTTGGCAGGGGAATCGTGTAAGTGCTAATGGGCTTGGTTCAGACTCCTTAAATCAAAGCTCTGGGCTCGGCAGCCAGCGCCTGCTGACAAACTTTGCTGGACACAGGGATCCATTGAGCCCTGAGGAAAGGCTGGGCTCCACGTGGCAGCAAGTCCTGCTCTATTTGCTCCTCTTCTGGAGAGGGGTCAAGCATGAGCCTGCCCTTCACAGGCACTGGGCTCCCTCAGCTCCAGCCCAGCGGCCACGGCTCCAGCTGCTCCTGGCGATCCCAGAGCTGTGTGATGGCAGCCCTTGGCCAGGGTTCTGGAACCCTCTTTCCTCCAGGCCTCACTCCATTGCCTCTCGCTCTCCCATCTCCCCAGCCCCAAGTGGAAGAGGAGCCTTTCCCAGTCTCCCAGGAGTGCTGAGAAGGAGAAGGAGCTGCACCAGAGATGAAGGTGTGAACTCAGAGCCCGGGCTGCAAATGGATTGATGCTGACAGGCAGAGGCCTGGTTTCAGTCACTGCTGCCTGGCAGCCAGGCACTGATTGGATTTGTGCACTTTGGGAGCACACTGCTTTCCTTTGCTGAAGGGATTCAAACCCATGTGAGCAGGTTCACAGAGAAACACAAAGCAGGAAGGGCCAAAGGTCCATAGTGGATATGTCCTGCTCCCTTCCCCACACAGACAGCAGAGTGCTGAGAAGGCTTTTAAGGCAAAAAAACTACAGGTAAATACACTGCCTCTGGATTACAGAGCTTAAAATATGATGGCATCTCCCCCAGATTGTGAATGAGTTCCCTGAAGAGTTCCTGCACTTCTGAGACTCTACCTTCCCCATTCCCCTCCTGGGAAAATTGGAGAGGCAAAGGGCTGCTGTTCCAGCAGATTTGAGTGGGAGTTGAAGAATCAATGAAGCTCTGAAAGCCAGTGGGGAAAGTCATTCTGCACCTTCCTGACACCAGGAATAAATGATTCAGCGGGAAAGGGAAAAAAAAATCCAACAACCCTCAAATGAGGCTGGAATTACCCTCTGGAGAGATATTTCATCTTGAGGAATTGTGTTTGCTGCAGTGTTCATCTTACTGAGCCACAGCAAGGCTTTAATATCCAGCAAAAGGTCAAACCTAAATGGGAATTGCCAGAGCCTGCTGGAGCTCCTGCCTGCACATGAGCTCCCAACCCTCACACGGAGCAGCTACGCCCAAGCGAGGCCTGAAACAGGGAGCAGAGCTGAGCTGGACCACACAAGGATATTTCCCTTCCCAATGGGATGCCAGGCACAGCTCAGCCCTGCACCCACTCCCTTTGGATGGGTACAAAAGGAACAGACCTGTCTCGAGCAGGGGGAGTACAGAGAGAATGCTGGGAGCTCCCAGATGTTTCAACCCAAGGAATCTGATTGTCAAGGAAAATGATTTCAAGGCACCTGAGGGCTGCAGGGGCAGCTGTCAGCTGCTCCTCAGCTGGAACATCAGTGCTTGAGACAATGCCAGTGCCCTCCGAGTCCAGCACAGCCTGCAGGGCTCTGGGAACTCTCTCCTCATGCCCATCAGCTCCCCATGGATAGACAATTATTCCCATTTTTCCCACTTCTGCTTTGGTACTGCTGCTGTCTCCCTCCACCCACACATCTGCTTAGCCTCTCCTTGGTAATTTGTACTCTTCTTCCTTCCCTTGGACCCAGCTCTGCCTTCTGCAAGTCTGGTATCGCTATCCCAGGCCGTAGCAGAGTTCCAGAGATAAATTAGGCAGACAGAAGGTGAAGGCAGAGGTTCCCAGGGAGCTTCCTGTCTCTTCTACACTGTGACAAAGAAAAGAAAGGAGGGAACTGAGCCCTTCCATCCCCCCAAGAGGGCACAGTGCTCTCAAATGAGCTGAGCTGAGCGGGGGGGGTTTACCTAAAGCAGAGCTGAAAATTTGCTTGAGCTCTGAGATTGATAGCAAAACTGGTCTCATGCTACAGGCTAAATCCAGACCCTGCAAGGAAACTGATTATTTGGGAACTATCAATAATCCTGACAGCCCCAAGCCTTCCACCAGCCACCTCAGTCATCCCACACAATGTGGAACCCTCTTGCTTTCCTGTTCAGGACCATGCATCTCTACCAATGCATCTTCATCTTGCCCAGCAATTCCAGCTGCCTTTTGAGCCCCTCTTGATGAACAAGGTGCCATGCATGATGGGCAACACACTGGTTTCTGTGCCAGTGCAGAGGAACATCCACTGGGGATGAAGCTACCACTCCCACTTGTGACTCAAGCCAGATTTCACTATGTACAGAGAGATTAAATTTCTCTAAGGTTAACACAAGATCATTTTTTGTTCAAATATTTACAGTTAGAGCTCACCAGAAAATCAACAGGATTCTGCTGGACAGCACTCCACTGTCCACATCCCCCAAAGACAGACAAACAGGGTTTTTATGTGGTATTTAAAGCATCCTGAGAAGCCATCCAGAATGAAGCCCTCACAATTGCTCCTGGGCCAGGCTGGGTCTGTGCCACACATCCATGCCTCTGAGGAAAGCAGGAAAAACTTGCTGGCCTTTTCTTCCTAATAATGTGTACAGGGCCCAGCAGCCCTGTACTTGGGAAGCCCATGCTGTGGAAAATGGGGTCAGATTGCTTCTCCTAGTGTTTGGCTTTGTGGAGCTGTTTGTGTCTCCTGGATGCACGACTTCCCTGGCAACAAACCGGAGCTGTCATTTGGAGAGCTTGTCCTTTCTATCCGGGATGTTTAAATTCAAGCCTCAAACTTGTGGTTGGCAGGGAATGGGGGCAAGCAAAAAGCCAAACAATCTGCTGTCAGCTCCTGACTGCCCAGCCTGGAACAGTTATCCCTCCTGTCCACAGGGAATGTTGGAATACAGAGGCAGTTGCTCCAGGGCCCATGGCAGATTTAAGCTGCTCAGACTTAGAAGATAGAATTTAAAAAACCTAACAGACAATAAGTGTACTGAAACCAGAGGGAAGGCTGAACTCACCCACAGCTGCACTAGACATCTGGGACTTGAGGAACATTTCCTGACTGCTTCTAAACCTTTGTTTGCTACTCCCCCAACTCCTGACCCTCTTTTTTACATGTCAACCTCTTCTTGAGGCTCCCCTCAACCCCTCCTGAGACTGCTCCTGTCTGCTGTATGTGCACATTAGGTTTAATGGTTTTCTGGGAGGGAAGTTTGGCAGAGAACTGTGTCAGGTGCAGAAGCTGAGGTGGAAATTGCCCTCTCCCTCCTCTGCTCCTTTCCAAGGGTTAGGAAGGAAGGTGAGCACAGGCTGGATCCCTGTGTGAAGAACTCTGAAGGGAGCACAGACATCCTCAGATGTTACTCCCACCGAGTTGATTTAACAGCCTCCCTTCCCTAGGTGGACAATCAACTTTCCAAGGAAGTCAACGACTTTCTGAGGCTTTTCTAATAGGCAGTGCTTTTCTGGGATGAAGCTCCTGCCTTTGAAGGTGTCTGATTTCTCCCAGTGCCCTGGGGCTTTCTGCTTACTCTGGTCTTTCATGCAACCACATCCTGCAAAGGCATCCCATGCCAGCTTCTCTCTCTGCTGGATGCAGAAAAATTTCCCTGCAGCCACGGTGTTTGTGTATGGTCCCCTCAATCCATCAGGCTCACAGGGAATGCAGAAGTGCACACAGCTCCTTCCTCTTGGTTGTCACCACTGTCCCCTCTAACCAGGCAAGCCCCAGCCCTACAGCTGGCAGGTCAGCCCTCCCTGTGCTGCTGAATAAGGGAATACAGAGGGGAAGGGAATGCAGACAATATCCTAAACAAATCTGCTGTTTACAAAGTCCCCTGTAAACTGTTTACATTGCTGGGGAGAAAGCATGGAGGAACAGCAGCTGGAGCGTGCCCTTCCCAGTGGGAAGAACTCCACTCCTGTTTGCTACACTGCTGTGGGAGGCAGTGGAGCTGATGCACATCTGGAAAGGGTGCAAAAGTATGAGAGAAAAGAAGAGGCAGCAAAACCCCAGCACCACCCACTCCCCCAGCCTGTCAGGAGCCCTGACTACCTCAGCACTGTCCCAGAGCACAGTCTGAGGAAGGTGGTCTGTCCCTGGGGTGCAAGGGGACAGGGGACAGCCAGCCTCAGGCTGTGAGCAGCGCCTGTGGTGGGGAGGCTGAGCTGTTCCCTGCTGCCAGAGGAAGCATCCTGAAGGAGCCAGCCCTGGAGTCGCTTGGCTCTTGGGCTGTGTGAAGAGCCTTGTGACTCTCATCCCTCAGAAATGCGGTGTGTGGTGCCTCCTGTTCCTGGTTAAACATGGGGCCTCAGGAATGCCAGCAAGAACATTGCAACGTGCTGGCATAAAATAAAAGAGTGTGCCTCTAATCTGCCTGTTTCCTGTCTGTGGAAAGTTCTTTGAAGTGCCTGTGCTCACGCCAGTGCTGGAACACCCGTGACCCAGCTGACTGGCACAGCGTGACTGCCCAAGCCCTGGGGGCTGCCACAGGGCAGGAAAGGAAGACATGGAAGAGTTAAACCTCCAACACGCTGGATCAGTCCCCTTCACACTGGAAGGCTGGTTTAGTTACTTGAGCAGGATGTGAGAAAACACAGCCTCCTCTCAAGGAAGGTGATAAGTGCTGTGAGCCCAGAAATTGTCCCAGAGGGGTACAGGAATGGGCAGCCAGCTGGAGCACCAAGGACAGGGAAAACATCCTCCCTACACATGATATGGCAAACCCTGACCTGCTGGTTGGAAAGGAATACAGGTACAATGACTAAAGAAAAACAAAAAAGAAAGTGGGCAAACTCAGGCTGCCCAGAGAAGCTGTGGCTGCCCCATCCCTGGAAGAGCCCAAGGCCAGGTTGGACGGGGCTTGGAGAAACATGGGAGAGTGGAAAGTGTCCCTGCCCTGCCCATGGCAGGAATGAGATGATTTTTACCAACCAAAGCCAGTCTGTGATTCTATGGATACAGGTACAACGATTTTTAAACAAAGGAAGTGATCAAACTCACCCTTTTGGTGTGAAGGGCAGGCAGGGACATTGCAGTGCTCCATCAGCATGGGGTAAGGGATGTTTATCCACATTTACTCTCAAACACAGAACAACTCCACTCTCAGCACCTTCACCCTCCACCCAGTCGGCCTTTTGGGGCCCAGCTGACCCAGAAAGAGGATGGAGAGGTCTCCCAGCAGAGCCAAACATCTCAGCCAGCCAGAATGTCAGCAGCATCTGCAGGACCTTTCAAGGACTGAGCTAAAAGAAAAACAACAGAGCTAAAAAATACCCCAACTTTGTCAAGCCAAGCCATTACAAAATACCATCAGGTTCCTTTGTTGAAGTAAAAAAAACCCCAAGTCCAAAATCATTTTTCACAGCCAACCCCAAATAAAATTGGTTTGGTTTTGGTTTCAGAAGCTTTTGTGCAGCTCTAAAAACATCAGCCAGCTACGTTTCTGAATGGAATGGCTCCTCAAAATTAAAACTTGAGCAATTTTTTTTAAAACTAAGTCAGAAAGAACAGGAGCTGTAATCCCACAGGAGTGCTGAGTGTGTTTCCTTGGCTCAAAATGACTTGCTGAATTTGCCCTGAATTTTGTGGATATTTTTGCTTGACCCCTCATGGCTCAGGCACAATGATAAAGCATCTTCAGATTCCAGTCCTTGCAGAGGAGCAGTAACCTGCAGGGAAACCCCAGTACTCCCTAAGCCTTGAGAAACCCCCTTTGGAGGTGGGAAGGCACAGTTTGGAATAGGTGTTAAGGCTTTTTGGTGAGTGAGCAGCCTTTCCCACTTCTATTTTAATTTTTGGTTCTGAGGGTCACTTCATTCAACCAGCACAGCCAGGGCGAAGATTCCTTCATGCAACATCTCCAGTGTGAACACCTTGCCCAAAAAATCCCACAGGAAAAGGCAGAGGGACAGCACAGCAAATTCATCTGTCATAAATTCCCTTGTGCCTGGTGAGACAGGCTGGTCAGCACCTGTGTCCTGCTAATGGCAAAGGGATCATCTCTTCCCTTGTTCTTCCCAGGGGTTTTATTACTACAAACCTTTAAAACACAGACAAAATGGCCAGGAATTAACCCACACATTTTCTCAGCATGAAGCTCCAGACCCACATGTTGGGCAATGTCCCAAAATCATCTGCTGGAACACTCCAGACATCTGCATAGAGCAGCCCTGCACGCAGCCTCCTCCTGTGCCTTCCAGGAGTATCCCCATCCCTCCCCGTTGGTTTAAGAGGATGGCTGGGATATGGTCTGTGCCCCTGGGAGCAGTGGGAAAGGGAAAAGCAGAGCTGGGAGGTAGCAGTGGCCAGGTTTGGGGTGAGGATCCATGCTCCCCATGCTTGCCCAAGGTCAGGGAGCAGCGGGAACTGCCCTCCTCACCCCTGTTTCTAGCCAACCCTCCCTGCTGGCATGCCGGGGGCCCTTCCATGCATGGAAGTGCTCAAGAACTCTTGAAATTAATTCCCTGTCATCCCCAAGACAGCTGTGCTGTGTGGAGGAGTGCCACAGCCCAGCAATTAGGGGGCAAAGACAGACTGCCAAGGGAGGCACTGAGGTCACACCTGTGCTGCTCCAGAGCTGTGCCGGGAGAAAGCCCTGACCAAGCTCCGGAGGGAACGGCAGCTCCTAAGTCAAACTCGAGTAACAAGATGGTCTTGGAGGGGAAAAGATTAATCATTATTGGCAGCAAAGAATGTGCAAGTCTAACAAAAGCTAAAGGGTTTTTTTATTACAGTCCAACTGCAGCTGGGAAGACAATGTTAGCTAAGAATCATTAAATCCATTGCAAGAATAAATTTTCTTTGATCCAAACCATAAAATGGGAGTGAAATCCTCTTAAGCCAGCAGCAGCTCCTAATGGAACAGACATTATTTTTTTGCAAACCAATAATAAAAAATAAAAAAGGGGTAGATTATTAAGTGAATAGATTAGGCTCCCAAATGGTAAATATTTACTCAAGCAAAACCTGCCTAATTTAATACCTGCCTCAATTAATTTTTTTTCAGTTTGGGATTATAATTGAAGGGAATAAGGGCATTTTCTGACTGTACAAACAGGGATTTGTGAACCCTGTTTGACCAGAATTCAAGCAGGAGAAAAAGGACCTAGGGAAACTTTCCCTTGCTGACCCCCAGGTAACATCAGTGCTGCTGCATGTGCCACTGATGAGCTGGCAGCTTCTGCAAGCCTGGAAGATGGAAGGTGAAGGCATGGTCCCCTCTCACAGCTGGTAATTAAATTTCCTGAAACATCTGACCAGGAGGTCACTCCTGATATTATCAAATATAAAAAATATTACAGAAAGATTGAAGTAATTTCTTACTGCAGTCTGATTTAGTCCCTGGTTTCAGGGAAAGCTTGGGGTATTCCTGCCTCAGTGCCTTGCCTTTTCTGCCAGACAGAGCAGATGTGGGAAGGGAGTGGAACTCTGAGCTCCAGCATTCTCACAGGCTCCGTACACCCAGGTGGGAAAATTCACCTACCCAATCCCTTCTCTGGGGCAGGGGGTGCAAAGAGAGTGTGTCCTGTGCCCAGAGAGCCTTTTCCACCCCAGACACTCCTCCTCTATGCTCTGGACAATGTCTTCCTCCTTCATGGGCTGTGCTCCCTTCCCACTCTCCAGAGGGTATCCTTGCATGCTCAGAGCTTTCAGGCCTCTGAAAAGTGACCTGATCTAGACACAGCCCCTGCACAGTGGAGCTTTGCATCAGCAGGTCAAGGGAGGGGACTCTGCCCTCTGCCCCTCAGGTGAGACCCCACCTGCAGAGCTGCCCCAGCACAGGGACGAGCTGGAGCTGCTGCAGAGAGTCCAGAGGAGCCACGGAGCTGCTCCAGGGCTGGAGCCCCTCTGCTCTGGAGCCAGGCTGGGAGAGCTGGGGGTGCTCACCTGGAGAAGAGAAGGCTCCAGGGAGAGCTCAGAGCCCCTTGCAGGGCTTGAGGGGACCCCAGGAGAGCTGCAGAGGGACTGGGGACAAGGGCTGGAGTGAGAGGACACAGGGAATGGCTTCCCACTGCCAGGGAGCAGGGATGGATGGGATATTGGAAATGAATTCCTGGCTGGGAGGGTGGGCAGACCCTGGCACAGGGTGCCCAGAGCAGCTGCATCCCTGGAAGTGTCCAAGGCCAGGTTGGACAGGGCTTGGAGCGCTCTGGGACAGTGGAAGGTGTCCCTGCCTGTGGCAGGGGGTGAGACTGGATGAGCTTTAAGGTCCCTTCCAGCTCAAAACAGGCTGGGATTCTCTGATTCTGTGATTTTTACAGCTCATATCCACAAAACACACTAACGTGCTCAGTCACAGCTGTCCACCAGCGCTCTCTATCCCCATCACTTGCACGGCAGTTCTCTACAGATGAAGATTCCTGGAGCAGTTCCACACCCCACTGCCAAGGGGCTGCCTGACCCTTAGCTCTGCCCAGGAAAGAACATGGCCATTGGCTTGCAGCTGGCAACCAACTCTGATATCCTGCCCCTGAAGCACACACTGCAATAAGCAGGAAGGGAAACATTTGAATACAAACCTTCCTGCCTGCAAGCATTTCTGATCCTGGCTTGAGCAGCCCAAACTCAGCTCCTGGAGTGTAAACTTCAGTGCATGTCTGAAGCCTTTTGGGGAGGAAGATGAGATAGCACATGGATTTACCTGATATATTATGCTGTCATGTCAGAGCTCTGTTGCTTTTGTTTTCCAGGCAGGAACCTTGCTGGCAAATGCTGGTGAGTGCTGCGGGCTCATGGGAGCTCTCCACACAGATTCCTGGTGTAGCTCTGGTTGTATGTTGTGCACAAGGGCCAGTGGGGACAAAAATGAGAGAGAGAGAAATGGATTCAATAATGAAATCTTGAAGTAAAAATGTGGCTGATCAGAATACAGTGACAGAGAAGGTCTGGAGTACTTTAGACCCAAACAGCTCTTAAATCCAGGTAAGAAACAGGACATCTATGGCAATAGCAGAATCATCAGAAATAGCAGTTAATCCCAAACTGGGAGCAAATAGAGTCCAGAGCTTGCCAGGGAACAACATGTCAACAGGATTACGGGCAAACCTTACAGGGCAGCTGTGATTCTGAAGGCCTGAGAAGCAAATTGTGATCAAAGCCATGCAGGCACAAGAGGAAACAGCATGGAACCCAGAATCCTTCTCCTGAAGGCAGATGGAGGTGAGTGACAGCCCAGCAGATCCTTTCCAAATCACCCCCTGGGTCCCAGGAGCAATAGATGGGGGACTGCTCACGTGATGCTGACTGACAGGCTGCGAGATTGTCTGTGGGAAAGGAACAAGAGGGGTAATTTTATTGTCATGTCCCGCAGGGGGGTGTAAGGAAAATCACAGCATGAGAAAATGACAGTGTATCTGTCTGAGGTCATTTGCATGCCCAGATAATCTGTGGGAGGAGAGCCAGAGTTGCTGTGCTTGACAGAGGCAACACCACGACAATGGGCCTGGGAATCGGGAGATTTGCAAGCCCTGAAACCAGCCTGGTGTTTGCTGCTCTCAGAAACCAAAATGTCCTGACTTCATCATTTAGGCTTCCAATGATTACACTTTGCTCCCTCGTGATGGGCTGTATGATGGTCTTGTCTTGCTGATTACACAGAGGGACAGTCCCAGGCTCAGAAGTGTGCCCACATCCCGAGGACACACTTAGGGGACACAGAGACACCATACACAGGCAAAGGAGCACAAACATGAAGGCAGACACTGGGTAGCAGTAGCTGTGGGCTGCCAGTGCAGCCCAGTAGATTTTAGCAGGGATCTAGAAGAAGAGAAAAAGGCTTTGACAGCGGTTTCAGGCTTCTCCTCTGCTGCAGAGGGAGTAACCTGGGAGAAACACACAGTGGCAGGTGGGAACTGAGATGGCTGGCAGGAAAACTCAGTATCTCTGCAGTGGAAAATCCAGCTGATGGTTGGGTGGAGCAGGGCCAGAAGGACAGGCTGCCTGCAGAAGGCACAGGCACTTCTCAGGGAGTGTGAAGGAGATGGTGACAGGTTGGGTGAGACTCACTCACACAACCCTTTAACACTGCACTGCCAGAGGCTCCCAGGAAAATCCCAGTGATAAGGTGTGTGGGACTCTGCACAGCACTGATAAGTGTGGCAGAAATCTGATTGCTTCGAAAACCTGGGCATTCCAAAGGGATTTCAGCTGGGTGCACAGGGAGGACGAGTTGGATTTTACAGATAACCTTTGGGCAGAACCATCCAGCTTTCAGCAGAGCCCAGATATGGGTATTTAGAGAAAGGTCAAGTCAAAGAGAATGGAGGGGGTGAGTGGATGGTGAGAAAGAGACATCAAGAGAGTAGCAGGAAAGAGCAAGTATGAGGAGATTTAAAACTCCTGAGCCGAAGGCAAGAGGTAGGTGTCCAGGAAGGGCTGTCAGAAAGCAGAATGTGAATTAATTTGGACAGTGCAGGACAGTTTAGGAGAAAAGTGATCGCTCTGTGAGTCATCAGCAGGGCATTAAATATGCAAAATTTGTAAATAAGGTCACCCTGAGAGGGAACGCAGAGCAGGAAGAGAGAAGGGCTGGGCAAATAGCCAAGGATGGAGCAGGTGAAGTAGCTGGCAGCACCTGAGGATTGTCAAGCAGGGCAGGCACAGCCTCAGGCCACAGCCTCCATCAAGGTAGGGGGAACCACATCCTCCTTGGGCAGAGGGAAGTGACAAACCTCCCCCTCCACCCACAGGTAGACTCGTCCCTACCAGACCCAAAGAGAAAGCAAACTGTGATGTCAGTGTGCTAGTGGTAGCCAAGGATTGGAAAAGACAAGCCCACAGCTGCAGCTGGCAGGGAGTTGTGTGGAAAGCTGAGCCTACCCAGCATTATTCAGCTGCTTCTCAGGCGCTGGAAGAGCCAGAGCTCGTGTCTGTGATTGCAGGGGCAGGAGCAGCGGGATCCTGAAAGGCTCAATTGACCCCAGGTTACAGAGCCAGCTGGGCACATGCCAGGCCTGAGCTCACCCACTCACCTGGAGCTGGCTGGGAAGCAGAAGGCAGCTCGAAGGGAATGCCAGGTTACCTTGTTGCTGGCAATGGCCTCTCATTTGTCAGCGAGGGATGCAGGCAATTTACACAGGGATGTGGGAGTGCTGCAGGTGTTAGGCAGCCACCCTGAGAGCTCAAGACAACAAAGAGATCCTGAAAAAAACAGATCCATTTCTAGCTGCAGAGAGGCTCTTAGGAAGTCCAGCAAGCCCCAGGCAGAACCAGGGGAAGGGGGGCTGGGAGCCACCAGGACAATGGTCCAAGAACAAAAGGGCTGCATTAAAGGGCCTATTCTGACAGTTAAACCAGGTTTAAGCAATTTTGCTGCTGCCTAATCTGAAGCTAATAAGGAGTCAGTCTTACAACCTGGAAATGCCTGGCCAAGTCAGTGGAGAAAAGAGGGTGAGGCGTTTAAGCAGTCCAAACATTGTTTCTGTCTGCATGTTCAGGACAAAGGCAAACCACTTTCAGGTTTAAAGTACACAATCCCTGATGGAAGCAAGATATTACACAGACCTGATGTGGTGCTGTGATGGGGTGAGAAGCCTCCACATCTCTGTCTGGTACAACCCTCAGAGGCAAAGTTCAGTGAGCTGGTGCCAGGGTGACTGGCAGAGGTTATCCAAAAGCCAGGCTCCATGAAATGCGGTTAGTCAGCACAAAGTGGCCTGGTCTCTGCAGGCTGCCTGCTTTCCTGTTTACCTGACCCAGAAATCCAGAATTTCTTTTACACAGCTTCATTTATAAAAGAATCCAGTCTGCAAAGCACAGCTTAGCCCAGATTTCCACTCCCAGACTTGATCAGATCACTCGAGGCTCTGAGACCACTGTCTCCACACAGTAATAGACATTATCCTGAGGCTTTGTGTGTGTTTATGTTACCCTTCCATTTTCCCTTCAGATATGACATGCAATTCCTAGAAAATATGTTATATACTCTTCTGCTCTGGAGTTCTGCCACCTCTGATTACACTCATTTGAGCCAAGCATGTAGTTTCAAAGTAAATCAATAAACAAGGCTTAAAAGGGTCCTACAGGCAGAGGCTGGGGGCAGCACCACCTCCCCCTCCCCAGTTATCTCTGCTGTGCTTCAACCTAACCAAGTAAATGGGTGAAATCTGAACAGGAAAACACATCCCAAAGCTCCCAGAGCTGCTTTACAGTATGGAAGATGGGGCCAGGGCCTGCCTTGCACCTGAATGGCACCTCCAGTGTTCCAAGTCCCTGGAGTCACCCAGTGAGAGTGAGTGGGTGTCACAGCATGATCAGGGCTGGTGGGAGGGTCTCCCAGGGACACCCCTCCCTGCCAGCCTGCGGTACCCACGGAGGGCTGCAGCCAGGGTCTCCTGGTTGTTGCAGGTGGTCCTGGAGGCACTCCAGCAAACATCCCACCCCCAGTGAGAGACTGGAATGGCAAACCTGGAAAGCCTGGATTCAGAAAGGGGCCATGCACCTCCCACTCTTACTGAAGACATTTAGGGCCCCTCAGGCTTGCTATCACATGGACAGTAACACATCCAAGTAGAGCATACCATAGATTTATTTGGGGAAGCCCAGGGGGGCACTTCTTCACCCCTAATCCTCCTTTACACTGTTTGTGGCTTCCCAGCACACCAACAGCCATACAGGCACAGGAATCTTCTTGGGAGTCTCCCAAGAAGCTCTAACAAGGTTATAGTTCCTCAAGCAGCTCCTCCAAGGTGAGTCATAATGGACCCCATGAGCACAGTACAGACTGCTGGCTAAACACTTCCCTAGGGAAGAGCTGAGAGGTGGGTTATTCATCACCAGGAGCTGTCCTGCTCTCCAGGATCAAGGCACACGTGGGCAGGGGAACTACCAGAGAAACCTCTGACACAAAGCCTGCTTGGATGCACTCACAACAGGATTTACAGAGCAAATTAACTCCACTGGTTGAATTATTTGGATTTTTTTTTTTTCTTTCAGAATCTCCAAAGGCTGCATAGACACAATGCTGACAACTCAGCCAGAGAGGAGGGCTGCTGTGGCACACAATGAGAATGAAGACCCCCTCACTCTGCCACCGAACAACTGTTGTGTTTTTGCCTGGCTGCATCTTCAGTTGAGATCTCCATTACCTGTGTGCTGGTGGTTGTATTGGTGTGGCTGCCTGGGCTTCCTCGGGCCGGCTCAGGACATCTGCTCACTGTTCCCAGCTCTGCTGCTTCTGCTGGCTGTAAAACAGAATGAATCATTCAGGGTAGAAGTGATCTCTTGTTTTGGTTGTCTTCATGGGCTGGTCTCTATTTAGTGCTCTGTTTCCAAATCCAGCATTGTGCGTGCAGAATCTGATTAGGGGAGTTTACACCACCAGAATATACATCCAATGTAGCAATTACACACAGCCCTGGAAGAGCCTCCCACACAACATGCTGGCACAGCAAAGCTCCTACTAGAGACGTGTGGGACGAGCAGCCCACACGTCTCCTGCACAAGCAGATTACTCAGCCCCAGAGTGCTGCTTGAAGCAACATTTTCTTGGGATTCAGGGAGAGATCCCACAGACTGCTGCTCTTTTTTGTGGGCTCTGTCCTCTTTCACAGAGCTATTACTCATTGCCTCATTATTTATTGTAAGGCTGGATGCTGCCAAGGTGCTCTGAGCTATCCCAGCCTGCAAAGGTTCCTATGAGCTGCACTGAGTGGCACAACTGCCATATCCATGTCATTCCTGTGTGTCCAGATCCTCCCCTGCACAGCATCAGGCATCTGAACTGCTGTGGTGGCTCCGTTTCAATCTGTGCCTCCAGCACAGGCTTCCCTGCCCCTCACCCAGGCAAAGCCCAAATTCAAAAGGCCAAATTCTTCTCTGTGTCCATGCAAAGCAGCCCCTTGTCTCCCCTGCAGAGCCCCTGTGCAACACTTCCAAGCCCAGAGCTGCTTTTCCTGCTGGGAACCATCCCCTGCTCTGAGCACCTGCAGCACTGAGCACCTTTAGGGGTGCTCAGCCATGGGGTAATTAATGAACACATGCAATCACTTCTATTATCTGCAACTTGAAGGCAACTCTTATCGAGGCAGAGCTGCAGCTGTGGGCAGCCAGGGCACAGCCACATCTGGGGCACGAGACCTTTGCTCGCTCACTCTCCCTGGCTGCTCAGGGAGTCAGGTGGTGCCGTTCCTAGAAGGTGCATAAATTATTACTGCAAATTACTCTGATGAAGTGGCTTTTATTAGAAAGCCAGACACAAAGGGAGCTTGCTGATTGGCTCCCAGTGATGTCATACCCAGCACAGCACTCAAACGCAGAGATACGAATTTTCTCGTCTATATTTTGCATATAATTTTCATTTTCTCCTGGCAATAAAGACACCAGCAGAGCCTTTCACTCGGGGAGGGTGGTGGGGGGTCTGTACTGCTCAAGTGGCTGATGAAAGAGAAGTGGGCTTTGTTCCTCTGTCTTGCAGGGAACCTCAGGCTAATATTTTGTACCCACAAAAGCACTGTGGTTTATTGCTCTATTACAAACCCATCACTCCATTTTCTTAGGTGGATAGCAGAGAAATTGGCATTTTTTGGCTTCATTGTATATAAAATCATTCTGATCACAGAGATTTTGCTATTTACAAGCCAAAGCTTAAAGAGCAGATAAAGCAACAGCTTTCTGATCATCATCAGAAGGTGGGTACAGGGCTTTGGGAAAAAACAGGCAGCAAAATCCCAACTAATTATTTCTTTTCCAAGTTTCACATGGTGGTTGTTCCTGCCTGCAAAGGCACTGTGAGTTCTCGGTGAGGTCTGTCGGAGGCAGACTCAGCGACCAGCACATCGTGTGCTCTCATTCCTCTTCCCTAACTGAATGTCCTATCGAACTTACAGAATTTGCTTACAAAACGTTCCAGCTTTAATCATTTCTGGATGCAACAGGCTTGCTGGTGCAGCTCAGACAGCAGAGCCCTGTGTGGAGAGCAGGCATGGAAGTATCCTTGCCTCACTGAACTGGAATGAACTCCCAAATTCAAGTGAAGGCTGTTGTTTCCTCAGCAGCTCTCTCACGCAAGGCTGTCGCAGTTCTGGGCCCCCATTGTCGCTGCTGAACCTGGACATGGGCAGAGGGGAAGGTTTTCCATACCTTCCTGCCTCCATTATGTACCACCGAGGTGTAAATTCTGCTGGGATGGCCAAGTGTAACATTTCCAGCCCTGGAAACAGGCTCCTGCTTGTTCTGTGCAAACACTGGGCTCTCCTCCAACAGAGCCAGCACAAATCCTGAGCTGACCTACAGTGCCTGCCTATTCCCCTGTGGTTATGGCTCTGAAGTCGTTTGTCCTGCAAGGGCAGAAAACAAAATCCATCTATCACTTGGAAGATGTCCTGGAAACCCCCAGACAGTTGTGCTGATGAAACTGGACACCAAGGGCTACTGGAGAGCTCAAACACAGTTAGATTTGCTGTTCCCAGTCCTGGGGTCACGACTATTCTTCCTTATTCCAGGTGGCTCAAAGTTGGAAATCATTCTCTCTTATTGCCCAAGGATTTGCTGAGCTGCCTGCCCTTTGTGGAAAACAGGAACTGCCCTCAGACTCCTGGATGTTGGATCTGAGGCTTTTGAAATCCTGAGGGTGAAGGTGCAAGGAAGAGGCATCCGGGAAGGAGAGTGCCTGACTGGGAATCAGAGTAAAAAGAATGTGAAGGCTGCAATCCTGGGAGAGGATGCTGGCTGAGACACACAGCCAACATCAGCAAAAAGAGAATGGGCTCTCAGGTTTAAGACCTGGAACAGATTCAAATCACCCTTTTATGTCTGACCTCCATGCCTATCTGAGGAAGACACAGAGAGGGGAGGGAGCCATGAATCTTGGATCCCATCCTTATGTGGCTTGGCCCTACATCCCTCTTTGCTTTTACCACTCCATGTAGAACAGAGGGTTATTAAAAGCACCAGAAGAATCTCAAGTAAAACAATTTTACTGTTTTTAAAAGCTTTGTTATAGCATCTCTGGAGCTCTGGCTTGGACCACCACAGACCATTGTCGGGAAGCTCTAAACAGCCTTTGGATATTGAATTACTGTTCGGAAATGTATCAAATTCCAAAATTGCAAATGCTGTCCAAAAAAAGAAGCCTCTGTAGAACAGAACACACTCACACAACGCAGACAACAAAACCATTGTGCTGGCCTAACTCAGCTTCCCTTCCCCACCCAGAGCAACAGCCTTGCCCCAGTCTCATTCCAGCGGTGATATTCCCCTGGGAAGCAGGTGGGCTCTAGAGGAGAACACAGTCCCACCTACTCATCACTCACCTCAAAACGAGAGCCCTTCTATCACTTGGCTTTTAATGAAATTGGGGGTTGATATCTCTGTCAGCCCCTCCCTTCCACTTGAGGACAGCATTAGCATCAGTCTGGATTATAATACCCAGTAAGCTGTTCTGGGGCGATATGAATCAAAGCCTTGAAATTGGGGTTGTGTTTAATTAATTGTGGCTGACAGATGAAGGTATTGATTGTAGATTGAGAGGTTCAGGACTGGCCCGGGGGATAATTATTGCAGGGCACACTGTGTTAGGGCGATATTTTTTTAATTTCTGGCAGTGTAGGGGGGAAGCAGGGGGGAAATAAGTGAATAATTGCAGCTAATTAGGACTTGTGTATGCATCCCAAATTAATTTGTTTGAATAATCAACCACCAACAGCCGTCTGATCCAAAAGGAAAAGGAAACAACTGCTCAGAAAGATCTCGATTCCTCCCACAAATTGTACAGTCCTGTGTCTGGGATAAATGTTTTACGGGATTGAGGCCCTAAATACAGAAGGATAATTGGGCAAGATTATTGAATGGAAACACTTGCTTTTGCCTAAGATCTACGATAAATCAAAGGGGCCGGGCGAGGCTGTGGGATAGCAGATGATGCTCTGTCCGTGGCCCCCATCCCATCCCATCCCATCCCATCCCATCCCATCCCAT